ACCCCCTGCTTGCAGTCTTTATGCTAAGCTAAGGTAATTGCCCCTGCTTTCAGCACCACACTTAATGCACAGAACGGACTGTTCACACCAGCATGTGAAACCGCTACATTTTGCACTGAAACCCCAGTCTTGTAAGCATATTTCCCAGATGAAACCAAAATAGCATTTCAGCTTAAGTTTAATCACTTGTTTGTCTTATTACCAAAGTCAAAATGAACTTTCATTCTTCAGTAATCATGTTTTAGGTAATGTCCTACCTGTGCATAACCTCAAATAATTTTTGAGATGCAACTTTATCCACATGGTACACAGACCTTTTTGGTGAAACAAAACATTTCACATATTATTTTCACAATAACGTGAATAGTTTGGCTACAGCCCCTTTAAAAAAGCTTTTTTTTCCTGATAATAAATGATCAAGTTGCCCCCCCCCTCCGAGGTTAGCTGCCCTTGAATTGCCCCTCTCAAAACATCCTTGAATCAACCCTGACTTCATCTGAAAAAAAAAACCGCAGGTTAGGAGGAGGTGTCTTGTCCTCCTCCGTGTCTCTGCCGCACCTGCGCCCTGCCTCCCTGCGCTTCACCGGCCTGTTTCCTTATCGTCATCGCTGATGCCTCCCTGCGGTGTCACACTCCTTTAACGCCGACCGACGGTTGCTCTTTACCGGCCGCTAAAACTACACCAAAGTGCTGTACTTCCAAGAGGACTTTTCCCTCTAAAAATGTGGACTACCGAGCGATAAATCAAATAGCGAAGCGCCACCTCTGCCGCGGGGAAATGCAGGACGACAGCGGCAAAGCAGCACCCGGGAGCCCCACTGTAGCCAGTACAAACACATCGCAGGTATGAGCGGAGGTTTTGGGCTCTTTAACCGCTGAAACCACAACAGACATATCTCTGTGTGGGTTTAGGAATTAGGTTAGTCTCTCTAACCAACGTGGAAGCCGTTTACGGGCGATTTAATTTCTCCTACCGGGGAAAGAAAGTTAAATGGAAAGATAAAACTTGTTGGGGTGAAGCAGTCTAACCTGTCCGTCCACATTGCTCTGAGCTCCCAGGTTTGTCTTCAGCCGCACCAGAGCAGACGCACTGTGGACAGCAGAGCCCGAGTCACTCAACAGATGTGTTTGTCCAAACTTTTCTCAAGGTTTTACACCACAGAAACAGACATCACAGAAAGTGATGATGTTGTCATTTGAAGTGTAGGTTTGTGCCATATAGTTATGCGATGCCTTATTTATGTAATATATGGTGCAAACATAAAAAGTCTTGAGTAAATGTAAGTTTGTTTGTTTGTTTGTTTGTTTTAGATTTTTAAGAATAATTAGTTGATTAATGGATTTGTGAAATGATAGAGAAGTATTAGTTAACTACTTTTATAATTGATTAATAGCTTTATACTTCATAACTGAGTAATTTTTCAAACATAAATAGCAACATTACTAGCCCCTGCTATGTCTAAGCTCATAAGTTAGTAGAGATGTACTGCCTCTTGTGTTATACATTTCTAAATGATGATGGAGATGATGAAGCTGATGATTAAACACTCTTATTTTAGGACAGCCTTTAATGCCATTCATTGAGTCTTATTCAGCCCTCTTCTTTTGGTTTACTTCAGGCACTGCAATTGGTTGTACACACTCCTCTGTTACTTCTCTTGTCAAAAGAGTTACATTGTGCAGTACCTCAACTTCCTAGTTCCTACATCAATGTCTCTATGCCTGTTAACATATTAACATATGTTTCCCTTGTGTAAATGAAACCTGGTGTAAGAAATCTCAGAGACATTATATTTTGGATGGCTTAAAACTTCAACATAAATTTGATGAATGTATGCTAATTGTATTTGCGTCACTGATAGATTATTAACGTTTAAACATATAACAATGACAGTAACAGCACATAAAGCAGAAGCTGTTATCTTAATCAGACTTCCTCCCTGTAACCTGACATGAGAAAACAGTTCCTCTCTTGTTTAGAGATGGATTGCCTGCAGGAGAGAAGAAAGAATGAATAGTCCAGTTGATAGTTTTGAACATCTCATGAGTTAGATCAATCGACAGGGTAGATCTCACACAAAGCTTGTTTTACAGTTGAAATAAAAGATCACCTACAGCACATCTGAGCTGTAACTAGATCGTATCATTTTTGCAGTACGTAGAAACATTTTAGACAACCTTATCATGAAAAAACAAAGAAAACTATCAATTACAGATTTGCACTGATATCTGTATTACTGAATATTGCCTCTCTGATTTCACTGCGTTAACAATGTCCTTTTTTTTTCTAGAATTCAGGACATTTGAACGGATATACCGTTTCTCAAAATGGCCACAACCCGACAGCTACACCTGTGCTGCAGTCACAGTTTGAATCCAGACCTCCAAGTCCTGCACCCACTCCAACCCCAGCTGTCCCGAGGGAGCAGTGGGGAGGGAAGTATGAGTTCCTGCTCTCCTGTATTGGATACTGTGTGGGACTGGGGAACGTGTGGCGGTTCCCCTATCTTTGTTACCGCAATGGAGGAGGTGAGCAGTTTATGAGCATGTCCGTTTCCCTGTCAAGTATCGAATGCTTTAAATGCCAGGTGGTATGTCTGTAATAATTTGTCACACTCATTTGGGCAAGAGACGCTCTGTGCCCTGCCCTTGGGTGTGTGCTGTCCTGCTAATCGTGCTGGCTTGATTTGCACACTCAGCCCAGAGCTCTCCATGGTAGCCTTGGTACTTGGAGCTAGAACACAAAGCATTTACTAATCCTATAAGTAGAGACAGTGTTTTCTTCCTTGATTACACACCAGACATGTGGTCTGCCTGTTTAACCCAGCCTGAAATACTGTGCGTCTTCATCTGAAATCAAACATGTTGGAGCAGTAAAGCAGAATAATGTCTGTGAAGCTGCCACCTACAGTAGACAGACGCTAACCTGCCTCCACAGGCTGTCTGCTTCAAGCTGAACAAACCAAATCAATACTTTGGATGTCTCTCCCAGCACCACCCTTTCCTCACACTGACCTATTTCTAATATTCACAGGCGTGTTTCTCATCCCCTACTTCATTATGCTCTTTGTTACGGGTGTTCCACTGTTTCTCATGGAGCTGAGTTTAGGCCAGTATGGAGCGGCTGGCCCCATCACTGTGTGGAAATGCTGCCCTCTACTCAAAGGTAATGAGCCGTTCTCTCAGGCTTCTTAGCCCAGTAACTACACACTCACATACATTGTGAGCCAGTGTCACAATCTTGGAAACTTTTAGAGATGATCATGGCAGTGTGGTAATTTATCGTTAGTTTATACTCAATCACAGCTATACTCTGATCACAGCACTGTCTTAATTCTCTAGGAATCTTGAGCATCCAGTCTGAACCGCACTGTAATGATTTGCATGAACGGATCTCAAAATGGCGGTATTACCAGTCAATCCAGACTAATAGTCCAGGAAAATAACTTGCTGACTCACATCAGATTGCCACCTCATCACTGTCTGTGCGTCATGAGGCCAATCCTAAACAACTCAGCTGCTAAATATAAACATCAGAGAAAGAGACCTGCAGGAACTTTCTTCAAGCCCAAAAATAGTTAGTTTTGTATTTTAAATTTAAAATGATCAGCAACCTGGCACGTTGAATTAAGAGAGAGGCTTCCAAGTGTGACAAAAGAAAATTAATAAGGTCTGCAATATCCAATGTCTTGAATGCTGTAATTTAGACGATACACTCCGAGGTATATTTAAGGATTGTTTCTGCAAGTAGAACAAGGGGGTTCATAGCTACATCTACATTAAATCAATCCAACTTATATACAATGCCCGACACAATAGTTTGTTTTTCTGAGATACTCAAGGCCTTTCTTTTGTAATTTCTTGCAGGTATTGGCATTGGGATGCTCTGTGTGTCCACGCTGGTGTGTCTCTACTATAACGTCATCATAGCGTGGACGTTTTACTACCTGGGCAGCTCCTTCCAGAGCCCTCTGCCCTGGTCCTGTGATGCTATAGCTAATGCAGGTATCTGTAACAGCACTGGGAATAGCTCCACTGGTAAAACCCTCAGCCCCACAGAAATCTTCTGGAAGTAAGTGTTTTTTTTTGGTTTGTTTTTTTTTTTTTTTTTACACAATCACTCACCACCTCTCATATTTGAAGAAATCAAACCTGCTTTGCCAATGTATACAGGCTGTTTTATTACCTTGGGCTTCTTTAGACTCTGGCAGTAAACTCAAACCTTGTGTAAATACATTTTGCGACTTTTTTCAACAAGCACCGGTATTGTTTACAGTTACTGGACTAAAACTGTCACCTTTTCAGATAACACGACCAGGAACCTTATGGCCACACCTTACTGTTGATTCCTGTAAATATGATGTATTATCCTGTATAACACCTGCACAATACATAAGACTTTAAACTTGCAAATATCAACCATTATGATGTTTTATAACAGCAGTTGTAAGGCATGATGGTTATAATACTTAATAAGTAAAGTATCACGGTTATTCCTCAGTTCTCAGAATAAATCTTGCATGAAAGGTTGTATGGTGCTGTGAACATGGTGAAAGAGTTGTCATGGTCAGCCATAGTGCCATGATGACAGCTTACTGTCTGCTTCGAGTGAAAGTAGGGGTTTATTTATGTACAGCAAACAAACCAAAAGGTACGGTCTAAGGCCAGATATAACTGACTGTTTGTTGACCCTATTACCAGAGCCTACTTTCAAAAAAGGGCATGGTGGACTTTTAGAGGAGAAGAAATACAAAGAGATTAAAAAAAAAAGAGAAAAAACCATTTTGGGAAGAACATTCCTACTGAAAATATTGGGACTTCAGGACCAACACAGATTAATGCTTATAATGGCATAAATACCAAGCTTCATGTCTAGATGATAAAGTGTTAGTAATTTAGAGAAAAAACATGAACAAAAGAAAATGGTGTAACTGCTAATCCAAAACACCACACTGTGGCTGTCACTACACCGTTGCCTTAAAGCAGAAAGTGAGCTGTGGTACGATGTTAGGGCATGTGACAACCACACTCTTTAACTGTTATGATTACAGAGAGCACGATGTTCATTTGACTTTACAGCCTAAAAATGGATAAAGCTATTAGCATTGGCCATTTTTTATATTGTGAAGTATTATAATCATATGTGTAATGCCCTATGATTGGTAATACATTGTATATTACATTATACCTTGTATTATAATTATACATTATGAAGGCTTTTAGCAGCTCTGATTATCCTTGTGTCACAGCACATGATGTGTGAATATTTATAGATAAGGATAAAATAAGAAAATATTACTTAGATTATCCTCCTTCTTCTTTAGTGCTATTCTCTCAGAGCACTTATAGCACTGGACTACAATATTGCCCATGATTTTTAGTGCTGGTAAACATTGAAGAAACTTATTTGAACTCAACAGTATGAATAATGGCCTCCTTCCTCAGACAAATGTCTTCATAGTCACTTATTAATCCAGCCTAACAACTGCACTTTGTTTATTTTGTGTCAGTGAATGTGTATTAAGTATGGCAATAGGTGTGGTAATAGGTGTGCTGTAATATATGTTTGTATTTGACTTGTGTTTTCTTGCAGTGAGCGAGTGCTGGGGGTAGTAAACAGTGAGGGCCTTCATGACCCGGGCCGTGTCCGGTGGCCCCTGGCCCTGTGCCTCCTGGCCTCCTGGATCATCATATTCCTGTGTATGCTCAAGGGCATCCGCAGCTCTGGCAAGGTGAATCAACACAATGTTGTTATTGTCAACTCACATACACACACATACAATCCTGCCCTTTGCTGCCATAACTTGCCGGCCTAAAACTTGTCTATGTTGTCTGGGTCTTCAGGTGGTTTATGTCACAGCCACCTTCCCATATTTTGTGCTCATCGTTCTGATCATCAGAGGTGCTACACTGGAGGGCTCTCTTCAAGGTGTTGCTTTCTACCTCACACCAGACTGGAACCGATTAGCTAATGCACAGGTACTTCTTGATGGTAGAGTAGCACATATGAGGTTGAGGAGTGTGTGAACTCAATGCTTTGTTGCTGCTATATAAATATATATAAATAACAGCAGATATTGTCATTGTTTAAAGCATATTTCTGTCTGAACATTGCAGGTGTGGAATGACGCAGCCTCACAGATTTTCTACTCCTTAGGCATTGGAGTTGGAGGGTTGCTTTCTATGGCCTCTTACAATAAGTTTGACAACAACGTGATCAGGTGAGTTTGGGGAACTGTGCTCCAACATTTGCTCTCTTGCTGCAGTCATGATAGCTTCAGTCTCTTAATCATGGCTCTTTTGATTTCAGGGACACTCTGATTATCACAACAGGAAACTGCAGCACCAGCTTCTTTTCAGGATTTGCTATATTCTCAATCCTGGGTCACATGGCATGGAGGAAGGGAGTGCCTGTTGGAGAGGTGGCAGATACAGGTAGTTACTTTGACCGATTAATACAATAAAAGTCTCACTTGCGTGTAGTTGTCATTTCATTTCATTTGTGTATTATGGCTTATGTGTGTATTTTTGTGTACTTCTTTATAAAAATATTCACATCTGAATTTATTCTAGTCTTTCTTACTGACTACTACTACTACCAAACTTTAAACTTGCATGTTATACTAAATGACCTACATGTATTTCTTTTTTTTTTTTTTGCTTCAGGTCCTGGTTTGGCCTTTGTTGCTTACCCAGAAGCCCTTGCTCTACTGCCAGGCTCAGTGTTCTGGTCCATCCTGTTCTTCCTCATGCTCTTTATGCTGGGGATTGATACACTGGTAAGGCTGCAGACTTTATCAACTGTATGTTTGATACTGGCAAAAATACAATCCACCTCAGCATTGTACAGTATATCTTCTGCTCTGCTGCCTCACAGTTTGGCAACATGGAGGGCATCACCACTGCTGTGCTGGACGAGTTTCCACAGCTCAGACAAAACACGCTGCACAAGTCCTTGTTCCTGGGCACGCTGTGTCTTTGCTTCTACCTTTTGGGTCTCTTGTTAGTGACTGATGTGAGTGTGTTTTTGATGAACTGTAGTAAGTGAAAAAGTGTAGCAAATGCATCTTCTCTGTGATCAGACTCACATTTCCCATGCTGTCTATGTCTTCATAGGGAGGGATTTACTGGTTCACTCTCATTGACTCCTTCAGCACTAGTTTCGGCCTCATCATCATCACCCTCTTCATGTGCATTGGCATCTCCTTCTTCTATGGTAGCCCATCTCTAACACAACATCACTCCTCTATATGAGTCTGAGTCATCCAGGACACATGATGTTTAGCACGTTGTAAAAGAGGAGAAACTTGACTTGCTGTGTTGTGAAGGCTACAGAGCAAATCCAGTTTCTATTTTAAAACTGCACTGACATCAAGCAGTTTTTTAGCTGCTGTATATCACATCATGTCTCCATTATGTTCTTAATGATAAATTGAACACATTTTCTGTTATGTTATCCTGTCCCAGTATCTTTTCCAGGGTTCCTAAAATGCATCTCTTAATGAACCTTTCTTATTAGGGGTCAACCAGTTTTGTCAAGACATTATTGATATGATCCGCCACTGCCCTCCCTGGTGCAGCAAAGTTCTGCTCTACTTCAAAGCGTGTTGGGTTTTCTTCACTCCGTTTCTTCTGCTGGTGAGTAGACATGGTAGTTTTGACATCTGTTACTGGTAGATGCAGCTACAATCTGACATCAGCATCGGTCATCTGTTATTAGTATTATGTGAACTAACTGGCCTATCGTGTTAGTTGGTCTTTTCTAAAGTCTAAATGCACTGACATTTATAGGTTTTATGGTGGTGAAGTAAGGCACTGGTGGACGCTGTTGGCCATTAGAGCCATTTAAAAAGTGAAAAAAATGGGTTTGTCTTCTCTTATAGCACCTTACACAGAAGCAATGAAAATCTTTACTTTGTTGCTACAATGAAAGAGTAGGACAGCATATTTTGTCAAGTGTAGATTTTAATATGGTCCGACAGTTTGGTTCATCTGTTGTTGTGGCTGAAATTCCTTAAGGGGTCACTGGTTAATGGCAAATTCCCTCCTTTTGGTTCTTAGCAATTCTCACACTTATTTGATCCATTATGTTACTGATTCTTTTAATATTTCAAACTGCCTCACATCACATGATGTGAGTACTGGATACAAATCAGTACAGCCTCTACAAAGCATCGCAAAAAAACTACTGAGCTTGTTTGCTTAGGAGGGGATAAGGAACATTACTTTTGAGATTAATTTATCAATAATTTATTATGTTAGGTTAGAAACAAAATATACATTTCTTATTAAGATTATTTTGACAAATTAAGAATTATCACTATTACTAAGTACATAATGTCCAGCTATGACCTTCTCTACCAGCACTGTTAACTAAAGCACATATCATATACACTACAAATAATATTATGCATATATTGCACAATCCATGTTACATCACTCCCTCTCTTATTTCTGCCACTCTTCTCTGTATGTTGCCTGAAGCAGAATTACCATCTACAATAAGGTCGATGGTGTGTTTATTGTCATGTATTGTTGTACTTTCAAAGGGTAATTTGATGAGGGGTGAGACATTGAGCTGTCCCAGAGAGTTAAAAATACCCCTGTAAATGACTGAATAGTTTATCAGAAACGGAAGGAGACGAAAGTATGATCAATCAAATTACCAACTGTTACAGAAAGGTCAAAGAAACTAAAATAACATCATTCATTTGAAATGTAGCCTACTGTGCTGAAAAACATTTTCACAACAGCAGTGAATAATTCAAGAGGAGAAACTGACATTCAATCTGAGTTCCCCCTGCAGCATTTCTCTGCTGGCCTTCTCAGTCTTTCTCTTTCTGTTGCCACTGTGGCTTTTTGTGAAGATGAAACATCTGTTCACTCTTCGCCTCTCCTCTTGCTGCTGTAGTTCATCCTGACGTACATCTTCATTGAGATGTACAACACATCACTCCACTACGGGTCCTATGTGTACCCACGGTGGGGTAAAGCGCTGGGCGTGTGCATGGGTGCGACCTGCTGTCTGCAGATTCTCATCTGGGCCATTGTGGCCATCTGCAAGGAAACTGGAACACTGAAAGACGTCAGTATCACCACTTTGTCATTCTGTCACTGTGAGGTCTGGTTACACCTCTGCCGCCGTCACACTAAATAGTATAGCTCCAACTGACTGTCACTGCTGCGCCTGTTTAAATATCTGTTGGAAGCTTTATGACTGTCTCTCGCTTCTTTTTCGCAGCGCTTTCAGAAAGCGATTCGACCTCTGAATTCCTGGAGAGTGAACAATTTGAACAGCATGGGGAGAGTACAGGAGCGCGTGGAGCCGGAGAGAGTGGAGGCTCCGTTCACTGTCACGCTCACAGACATGGACTTCACTGCAATGACGTGGGAGGCGGGAAGCCAGGCGTGACAGCATGGAGAGCAGTGATGAACGCACAGTGATATGTTGTCAAGAGAAAGAGGAATTTATCATTATGTCATTTGCCCCAGCTAGGCTCTGGTGGCCGTGTCTGTGTGTCCTGCAGGGCAGTGTGGATGAATTGCTTTATTTATACTATTATGTATGATTGAATAGTATTTTTTAACTTTTTTTTACATTATGTAGAATATAAGGAAAGTTTGGATTATCCTCGTCTTACTTTTGGATGAGCGTAATTCTGATAATAATTACTGTCATAGTAGTGCAGAACAATGAATTTTCCTCTTCCAGCAGTCAACAGCGGCTGGGGCACTACATTTTGTTTATGTCTTGACTCTTAACTGTTACCCACCACACCATTGACCTGGAGAGGTGACCACGATTCATCAGCCCACCAGTGTAAAAGGTGCTGATGACACAGCCTCACAGAGTCAGGAATACTTTTAATTCATTTTACTTTTTAACATGAACGTTTGCAGGAAAAAAATAATTATTGCGAGAATAAATAAATACATGTAAAAATAGCTTGCCAAATGAACTATTTTTCAAGGTACTGTCCATGTCTAAGATTTCTTGTGTGACTGTCTACATGTCAAATGAACAGTTCCTGCAGATATCTGCAAAAAATGTAGCAATCAATTCACTCCTTTGTTGCTCACACTGAATTGGTAATGTCACATTTACAACTACATCCCACATTAATGTCGTAGACAAGCTTTAACGTGGGATGTATATGTCTCTGGCTAACATTTGTTGTTTTTAGAAAAAAAATAGATAGGAATCAGTGGGTATCTACACACAGGTAGGTTTCTAGTTTTGTATGTTTACTGGAACTTTGCTTTTCCAGTCCTTCAATGTCAAGTTTCCACCCTGCTATTTAATTGCAGAAATCCCTCCTTAAGTCATTATATATCATTGGTTAAATGTAAGGTCTTATCAGTTAAAGGTATTGTCCGCTTGAGGACATGATTATTATCAAATCAATCTTCCTAGCATTTCTCGTTACTCTGATTTGAGGGCCTGCTTAAAGAAAACATCAAAATCGGTGTGATAAGATATTAGTTATTGGTGAATTGGCCACACTGCTTAATTTGTGACACTAAGATCAATACATTTTTTAAAAGACCCTTTGTAAGTTAAGCTCAATGGTGTTAAACCTGGGACATAAAAGAATTACAAATATTTCTCCCACAGATGAGACAGTTCACCTGGACACACTGGTCACTGATTAATGTGTTGTTAATTTCTTGAAGCGGCTGACTGAGATAGACTGTCCCAGATTAATAACATTTGTTAATAATACTAGTTGCACTTCTCTCACAGAGGCCTGAAGTTTTGATACTGTCATCTATTCCCAAAGATTTAATTTGGAGTAACTGATAAAAATTCCCCATCGTTTTCAAGGGCATATGTGCTCACTCTTGAGTACATGTTGCAAATATGTAAATTTTCTACCAAATCTGCAGTGTTTGCATTATTAAATCCTTTCAGTCACATGAAACATTACATTTTGTGTTTTAATATTGAGGGGTGATCAAAGCATCTTTCAAGTAGGATCACTTTGAAACCATTGAGTAAAAACATTTTATTATCGTTTGTTTTAGGAGTGTATGTCATGTCATAAACCTCATCTTTTTTGCCTTTGTAAACCTTGTTGCCATTCTCTTATGTATTGCTGTGCATAATGATTAAATATTATCGATGTCTTAATGTCTTCACATTCATTGCTTTTGTTGTGATCATTATTATTATTTGCGATTACACTTATTGGTGATTTTTCTTTCAAAGATGTCTTTTGGAAAACAATTAAAACTGCGGTTGAGTATATACAGCCAAGCCATCAGTTTTATTTACAGTAACTACTTGTTTGGAGAGTTTCCTCTGGAAAATTAGTTTTGTAAAATGAACTTCTGTTGACCATAGTTGTCATTGATGTGGCAGTCAGCCTGTGAGCGGGCTCAGTGAGGTTAGACTCATCCAATACACACAAAAAATATGCCATTGCATTTTAAATAGTTTAATGGAGGCAACAGAAGGGTTGTTCTCTAAATATCTGACCATGACCCAAAGTTTCCTCAAGCTTTCTACTAATTTTAAATGACAGTACGTGAATCTTACCTCAGGAGGGCAATGGTTGCACATATAAAAGGGTGCTGGTTACGCATATTTAATCCATGATCACATACTAAAACGTATTAAAGAAACTTTTAGTGACCAAAGAGAATAGATTATAGCTTTTATAACTGTAGTGAAATGCGTGTTTCTCTGGTAGGTTAAAAGGTAAAGACGTCAGTGCATAGTAATTTGTGAAACAAGGTGAACAAAGTGAACATATGCACGATCTACATCACTGTAATAACTGTATAATTACATTACATTGGCTGAAATGATGAGTCGTCTACTTTTCTGCCAACTGTCCTGTGCAGCAGAGAAACCCTGAAATCCTTTGTGACTCGTCTGGATGGCGGGATACATGCAAATGAGCGGATGTTACGTATATATTTTCCCGCGTTTTCATCTCGTGGGTTTGGGTTAGTTCGATTTCGTTTGGTCACGTGATCCCTGGGAACGCACACTGCTCTCTGTTTATCATCACAGAGAGCCTGGGACACACACACAGCTATAAACTGCTCATTTAATGATACTGTCGGCAGCACTGGGTTTAAATAGAGATAAACGACCACTAAACTCAGCGAAGACGTTAATATACACGGGATTTTGAGCACTTAGCGTGGAGGGCGGCTAACAGCTGCTGAGACACCGGCGACACCGGAACCCGCAGCGCACTTCCGTGTTACAAATCGAACACACACGCTTTCAGGAAGTCAGTGAGGTTTTGTTGTATTGTTGCTACGGAACTCGTGCAGTGGGATTTAAACTTAGTAAACATTATTTGTCGACTTCAAATCACATTTCTATTTCTAAGTTTTATATTTGTCTGTTAGCTAACCGTAAACCAAGATGCCACCTAAAAAGCGCAACTCTGGGACGACACAGAGCAAGGGGCTGAAGCCCAGTGCTGAAAGTGCCTCTCCAGACAAGAAGGAGAGTCCAGAGTTATCTCTTAAAAAGTAAGAGACGTTTTTTGTGCCTCATCCAGGTCTCAGCAGCGAATTACTTAGCTCCTCTGTAAAATGTATTTACACCGTAGCCTAAATGTTTAGCTAACGTTAGTTTGTGCTGGTATTTCACTCTTGTTAGCTGTGACTAACCGTGAAGCTGACTAGCTAGCTACTTTAAACGAAGCCAGGCCTGTATTTAGAGGTAAAACCTATGAGTTTTAACGTCTCTCAATCCTGCACAACTCACCACAGGGTGTTAATATTCAGTATCATATATAGCATGTGATGTGGCGCTGTTATAACACATAAATACACCTGTGCCGGGAGGCTTGTTTTGATGTCCCGAAACTCCATAACGTTGGTTTATGGTCTTCATCCACTAGACACAGAGACAAGGATGCCGAGTTTGTGACCCTGTGCAAGACCCTTCACGTCACAGACCTGGTGTGTGACCGTGCCTGGACCCTGTGGAAAACCATTCAAGAGTCCATGGATGAAGTCGCTGTATGTATTTATATACAGTAATGTGACAGTAGATCTGCAATGTTGTGATCCTGCCTGGAAATTGTATTAGTCTGTTTCAAAGCCTCCCTATAATAGAACACAAGAATCCCATTTGGAGACAGCTCACTTACTGTTTATACAGTTTGGTCAGAATTAAATGGCCACTAAGGCATCCAGACCCTAACAATTCAAATGAACATGGCTTAACAACCAAACCCCCTCCAAAGCTTTTCAAACAGCTTTCTCCAATTTGCCCTACAAGGATTATCCTCCTGCAGTAATTGTAGCATAACACAAAAACTGTAGACAGCTTTGTAGTTTTTGTCAGTCTAACAGTACAGTATTAGAAATTGACTCTGGAAAACATAGTCACTGATTTTGGATGGCATTCAAGAAGTGCAAGTACATGTAGAAGCTACTCAAATATCAACCCAATAGTAACCTTTTCACTGCTGGTTAAAGGATAGCAGACGAGGATGCACTGCACGTAATGAGCAGGCATGTGTCTCATATCACACTGTCACAGGTCTTATGTGGGTATTATCTGTGAGATTAGGTGTAAAGTTGGACATAAGTGTCACCTTTAGTTGTACCCTACATATCAATCTAATCCGGCAGTGTGGCACAGTGTCTATGTGTGATGCTCTTGTCATGTTGAGGTGGTTTTTCTGAAGTGTTGATGAAAGGTCAAGCTTGTAAATCAGTTTTAACAGTTTATAACAAAGGTGGACTAACATTTCTTTGATAAAATATGTATTTGTATTGTATTGCTTTGTTGTAACAGATCTATTATATTTAGGTTTCAGTCCTACTCAACATTCTCCACCAGGTCTTCATATTCATTGATGTCAGTGATTAGAAAAATACCACACTTTTTTAAACATTTCTCTTTTTACATTTTATTTCAGGACAATCAGAAAAGGCTGTGGGGTGCTTGTCTCTTTGTGACTGTGACAGACATGGATGTTGCCTGTTTCACTTTAACTCAGGTTCTGAAAGCAGTCAGTCTAAAGTAAGTAATCAGCAGCTTTCACAGTGCTTGAATATATAGCATTTGCTGCTGAATTGCTGTTTTTAGGTGCTTCAAGTAAAAATCTACCTCTTAATATTCTTCACATTACTGTGATGTAATGTGAAGAATATTCCTATTGAGGAGCATTTCAGACGTTTGTCATTTTGACAATTACTTTACCAGTCTTAAAAATTTTATTAGTATCATTTTAAATTCAGCCTGCATTTATGGGCTGGTTTTAAAGTTTTATTCTTTCAGTTTGCTTGTTGAGTTTTCATTCAAATGAAGTTTCCGCTCACGTACATTCATCCTTACTTTTGTAGTGTAAAGCAGTTTATGTCTCTGGTGAGGAAGTTGGATGTGAACTTGGATACAATTAGCACCAAGGTGAATTCAGCACTGACACGACTGGAGAAGAAGTATGATGTGACACTGGCTCTGTACCAGAGGTTTGAGAAGTGAGTGAGCACATTAGTACAGTACAGGTGCTTGATTCATAGAGAACTAATTGTGGCAAAATTGTAACTGAACTTAATATTTGTTTTGCTTCAGGACTTGCAAGAAGATCTTTGCTTTGGTTGCTGATGGCAAGTAAGTTGGAGACTTATCTGTCACATGAGTGAAATGCATTTATCATACTCATTTTTTAGTATCTTTATTGCCTTGTGCTTGATAATTGTGTGTTTGTTATAAAAATGTGATGCCAGTTGCCAGGTTAATAGTTCAATGTCTCATTTTCAAGGGAGAGAGAGACCATGCGGAGCTGCTGGACAATGTTTCTTTTGGCCAAAGGTAGGTTTAGCCTTTAACACATTACCAACAACAAAAACAAGTAGGATCAAGCTGTTAACACACGTGATGGAATAGTTTTCATGTTGCTCCATCTTCTTCTTTCCATCCTTCCTTCCTTCTCTGTTCTCAGCTGTAGAGCTCAAATGAATTGGAAAGTTCTGTTCTCTGTAGCCTGCAGCATCTGTATTGTGATGGTGCTTCTCATGTGTTACATCTTTGCTGTCTGCAGGAAGGGTCTTACAGATGGATGATGACCTGGTCATATCATTCCAGCTGCTGCTTTGTACGCTGGAGTTATTCATCAAGCGCTGCCCTCCAGACCTTCTGCAGCCTCTTTACAGTAAGCTTCAGGGTCATTTACTGAGACATCCGTCTTTATTTGATAAACTTCTATGGCCTCTTACTGAACAACTAAATTTGAAAGTCTGAAAAGTATTAAGTTGAAGAATTTATTTAAAAACGACTAGAGAAACATTTTGATGTAGGCATGACTGCACATTTAGACCTAATGTGATTTCACGTTATTTGCTTAAAAAGCATATGCACAGTATTGTGTTTATGTTGTATAATAGTAGATCTTCCCAGCCATGAAAAATGTAAAACGTAATCACAACATCAGAGATTCTGTGTCATGAAAAGATCTATAGTTCATGCCTCCCACAGATTTTCTAACTTCTTAAATGTTTTTCTCTCAGAATCATCCATCAGTAAAGTCCAGAGCCCCCCAACACGAACATCTCGTCGAAACCAGAGCAAAGCCAAATCCCGACCTCCAGAGCCAGAGATGGATGTGCAGCTTCTCGAAACCTTGTGCAAAGAGAATGAATGCAATGCAGAAGAGGTCTGAGCACTTCTCTTGTTATAGTTCTTACAGTCATCATCTAAACACATTTCTATGCCATCCATGTGTTTTTGACCTCATTTGTCTTTTATACCAATTGTATTTGCAGGTGAAGAATGTATACCAGACCAGTTTCTCTGCTTTCCTGGACTCACTGGATCTTTCAAGATCCCCAGATTTTCCTCAGGTAAGGGTTGTGATTGTCACAACACCTGCCCCACTGTTTGATTTCACCTTGTCTCCTCTGCACTTAGTGTTTCCATTAGTTACCTTTTCCTGCTTGCTGTTGCCATTGTTGAATGTTTGAGTGTCTGACAGCTGTTGGTTGTTCTCTTTGCTGCTCTTACATGTTTGTTCTCACATACATGGTGTCAGGAAAATGTGTACTCAAGCAGGGGATCCTTCATAGTGTGTAGGTGGTATATTGCAAAGGCAGGTATGACAACAACAGACAGGATGCTACTGTTTGCTGACACTGAAACTC